TCAGCTTCTGCCCTGTGCCTGGGAGAGGCAGCAAGAGATGGCCCAAGAAATTCTGCCCTACCATCCCGTGTGGCAGACCAGATGGGGCTCCTGGCTCCTGGCTGTAGAGACCCAGCTATCGTCAGCCATTTGAGGGGTGATCCAGAAAATGGAAGACAGATTGCCTGTCCAATGAATCTGTTTTTAAGATTCATTATTAAAAACAGATTATACCAACTGTTAAATCTACCTCACAGATAACTGATGATGATAAGAACACATTCAAGAACATTACAGTTGAAGATTTAAACAATCATTTTAGGGATCAGAATGTGGTGGTGTATCAGACTAATATTCCACCTGCTAGTGCCAACAGCCCATTTGGGTGCCAATTTATGTTCCACTGCTCCACTTTTCATCCAGCTCCCAGCTGATGACCTGGGAAAGCAGTGCAGGAAGGCCTAAAGCCTTGGGATCCTGCACCTACATGGGAGTACCAGAGGAAGCTCCTGGCTCTGGATTATTTCAACTCTGGCATTGTGGCTGTTTGGAGAGTGAACTAGTGGATGGAAAATCTTTCCTTCTGTAAATCTGACTTTCCAAAAAAAAAAAAAAAAAAAAAAAAAAAACCACACACACCTCTAAAAATAATGAATTCCTTTAAAAACACTCTATATCTCCTTCTCTCTTTGTAAAATTGATCTTTCAAATAGAAATAAATAAATCTTACCAAAAAAGCCTGGCCTAAGTAAAAAACCTATCTTTACCAAAATTATAAGTCAAGACATTTAAAAGAGACAAGACTGGCAAGCTTACTGCCAGCAGCTGGAGGCAAGAAGACCAAAAAATGGAGTAAAACAAACTGTGTAAATCCAAATAGGAAACAAAAAGAGATAGATTCTGATTAAATATGATGCAAAAGCAAGTTGCAAGTGGCGAGTTTCTGAGATACTATAACATGGCTGTGCCTTCTCCTCCTGGTGTGACCCAGGCCGCAGGCACTGCCTCGCCCCTTTGGTGAGCAAGTGTTGATAAGAGGCAGATTCTTGATCTTGGAAGCAATGACACGACTCTGGGTGGTGTTTACTCGCTGGCTTGGGGCTGAAGCTTCAGGCCATTGACGGGGGACTGTTCTCCCAGGACATCTACACAGCATCAAAAGGAGAGGCAACACTTGGGAGAAAACGGGACAGGTGTGTAGCCCGGGACTCAGATGCTGCTGAGCACACCTGTCAGTCCATTCCAACATGGGCGAAAGCAGCTCCTGGCTTTGACCTAGCCTAGCATTTAGGCAATGAATCAGCAGGTGGAGAATCTCAATCTCGACCTCTTTCCAATTAAAAAGAAAAAAGGGGGACCAGCTTAGTAGCACAGCCAGCTAATCCTCCATCCTATGGCACAGGCATACCTTATCAGCACCAGTTTGTGTCCTGACTGCTCTACTTCCAATCCAGCTCTCTGCTTATGGCCTGGGAAAGTAACAGATGATAGCTCAGGCACTTGGAACCCTGCACCCACTTGGAAGACCAGGAGGAAACATCTAGCACCCAGTTTTGGATCAGCTCAGTTCTGGCTGTTGTAGTCATCTGGGGAGTGAACCAGTTGATGGAAGATCTGTTCTGTCTCTCCTTCCCTCTCAGTAAAAGATTTTATTTTTATTGGAAAGGCATATTTACAGAGAGAAGAAACAGAGAAAAAGATCTTCATCTGCTGGTTCACTCTTCAAATGGCCACAATGGCCGGAGCTGAAATGACCTGAAGCCAAGAGCTGGAAGCTTCTTCCAGATCTCTCACGTGGGTGCAGGATCCCAAGGCTTTGGGCCAGCCTGCACCGCTTTCCCAGATCATATGCTGGGAGCTGGATTGGAAGTAGAGCCGTCGGATCACATACCAGTGCCCATAAGAGATGCTGGTCCTTGCAGGCGGAAGATTAGCTAGCTGACCCATCCTACCTGTCCTGAAAAACAAATCTTTTAAAAAGTTTTTAAAGATACTTGGGTGAAGCCATCTGCCACAGAGAAGTCATCATGCTCCAAGCACAAACTTTGCAGTCAGAATGACTTGAGTTTGCACCTGGACTCAGATGCTCACCAATTTTGAATTCGTTTCATCGGCCAGCATTCCCAAATGGGCTTGGAACTGCTGTTAGTCTGGGCATGCTTTTCACTTATCTATGATGAGAAGAAAAACTAGGACAATGTAATAGAGCTCTCCATTGCACTGAATTTATTCTCTTTGTTATTATGTTGTAATTATAACCTTCCCCTATTTTTGATGCCAAAATGTCCTTTCAATTAGGAAAGACTGGAAATGGTAGATCTCAGTAATTTTTAAGGAAGTCCTTACTCTTGAAATAATTAAAAGTTGAAGGTCTTAAGTCCAGGCTCAACTATCACCCCCACATACCCTGCTAATTATTATTTTTTAACTTATACCTAAGTCCAAATATCTAAACAGAAGCCTAATTTTTCTCTTTAGTGGGACAGGGGCAAACAAACGCTCTTTTGCAAAATTCTGTACAATAATCATGGTGTATTAAAAGTACCAAGTCCTTAAGGCTTTACCATCATCAATATCAAGAGCCTGCCTAGGTGATGTGAAGATTTATTCAAATTCCCCCAAATGAGCAAGCAAATTCACACTCAGGCTGAGCAGCAGACTGGTCAGAGGGCAAGCTCTGGATTGCTGAGTCAGCCACAACCTCCCGCGTGGCAAGCATCTCATCACTCCAATGGGGATGAAGATGTACTGCAGAGGGCTGTTGGAAGATCTGAATTGGATCACCTACAGAAGACGCCACCAAGGTGCCCTCAGAATGCTCTGGCAATGCCGGCTGCCATGGCATTACTCCCTGCTCACAGACTGTCCCCACTGCTCTAAACACCTGAGAGTTAACATATCAACATCTTCTACTGGGGAATCCCACAAGGAGAGGCCAGGAGGATAATCAAGATCACATTTATTCACACTGTTTCAACTTCAACCTTTCGGCAGAGAATCTGGATGGCACACAATTCCAGGCCACATCAGCAGTGCTGGCAGAATCTCCAGGTCTCATCATGTTGGAAATGGGTGTGTGTCCTTCAAAGCAGGCACCATATAATCAGAACGGTGACTCTAGCACCAAATGGTTACCTTTCAAGAGAAAAAGCTACCTTTCTAGAAAATCAAATGTAATCTTTATTTACTGTGAATTCTGTCCATTAACATGAATCCTCAGCTTAAAAAAATCCAAGTTTTAGTGCTAACTTGCCTTAAAACATGGCTAGCAATTCAACATTTGCAATTCCACAACATAAATAATCAATTTAACGTAAAATCAACTGTAGTTTAAAATAGCTTTTTATACAAACTTAAGGGCAATTTGTATGTGGAGTGCATGAACAGCATTTCAGCAGAAATTCTCAAATGGTAAATAAAATTTTCGTGTATCAGTATTCAATGTGATCTTTCTAAGTACAGATTCCCCCTAAGGGGTTAACCCCCAGCAGTTTCCTCAGGAGCAGCTGGTAAGCAGGAGCAGGCTGTTCCCAACAGAAGGGAAAGCTTTCACCAAAGCACAGCCCCACATTAACAGGAACTGTGATTCCACTACTTCTAGCTTCCCTCACTGCCTAACACGCAGTGTCAGCACCATGGGAGAACCAGGTACAGATTGCAAAGAAATGCAAGTTCTAATATTAAGAGATACGGTTAAACTGTCCCTTCTCCCCCATATTTCTGCAAATGACATTAAATGCAATATACACTCAACTGGTTACAGCAACTACTCACAAGACTGATGAAAACAAAGTGACTGTTCCCTATCTTCCAGAATATTTGGAAAGTAAAGATCAAAATGTAGGAGTGCAACACTCTAATTCCCTTAAAAGAAACAATTCTTGGGGGGAGAGGGGCACTGACATTTAGAGGGGTCGGGGTGGAGCAAAGAAAAGTGGAGTGTTCAAGTCTGAATTCAGGCTTGGCCAAGTTAAAAACCAGATTCAGGCCAAGTTAATCTGCCTAAACTACTTTTGTCTATATAGACCGGAGATGATAAAAGCATCCGCCTTAAAAGGGTTGTTTCGCGAAAATCCACGCAGAGATCACGACCCAACCCACCACTTAACTGCCCCTGCTTTGATCATCATCACCATCATCATCAGCTGCCACGCTCAGTAAACAGCAGTGGCGTCAAGTGCCCTGCTCAGCAGTGACTGACAGGAGCATTAGGAAGATAGAGCCACAAATACAAGGAAACGTTTTTGGTAAGGAAGCACTTCTGCTGAGGCTGATTCTTTTCTCACGCTTCTCACCACAAAAAAAACATCCCCCCACCCCCCAAAAAAAGACTTTCTAGAATGATCTTCGGAACCCAAAACGAAAGTCAAAGCCAGGACCACAAACGGAATATCGCATTGCATCGCTGGTTATCGCGAGCACCCAAGAAACACCTGCCAATGCCGGGGGCACAAACGCTCTTCCTCCTGAGCGGGACAGCCATTCCAATCCTAGAACTCTCTAGCCTGCAGCCACGAGGCCCCTTGAAATGAAAACAAACAAACAACAATAAAAAAAGCACACAAACACGGCCTCATCAGGGTCAACTCGGAGGAAGATGTCTGCTTGCCAAAGGGCCTCCGAGCCACCAGACCCGTCTTTCCAGGGGTGCGGGGCGAAGACAGCAAGGGATGCTCGGGGTCTGGAGGCCCCACAGAGCTCGACTCCCGGGAGGGGGGACAGGGGCGGCTCCTCCGCAAGCAGCCGGGAAAGCGCGCCCCGAAAGCGTGCGCCCGGGGGTCGCGCCCGCCCCGCCCCTCCGCCCGGGCGCGCCTCAGCAGGCAGGCCGCTTCCTTCCTCCTCCCTCCCCAACCCGTCCAAGGCCGGCAGAGGCTGGCCGCACGCGCCAAGGCCGGCTGCACGGCCGCGCTCGGCTCGGCCGCCCCGGAGAAGGCCTGCACCCTCTCCGCTGAGGGAGCCCCCGCCGCCCCGGCAACGCCGCGCCGAGGCCTCTCGCCACCGCATGCCGCTCCGAACCTTACCAGCCGCTCGCCCCGCGACAGGTGGCGCTGCCAGAGGAGAGGCCGCGGGCCTACCACCCACCCCGGTGATGCTCCGCTCCTGCGCCCCTTCTCCCAGCACCCCGAAGCCGGAGCCGGGTCAGGTTCACTCTGCCGTGGGCGGCCCCCCAGCCCGCCGAAAAGTAGCCAGGAACCCGGCGCGGGCCGGCACGGCCCCATGGGCGGAGACGGACAGACGTACAGGCCAATGAGATCCGGAAGGCTGGCGCAGGGGCGGGACTCGCCTCGGGGTTCAGCGGGCCGGTCCCGCGGTCCTGGCCGCCGCACCTTCTTCCGTGCTGTTCTTCGAGGTACTGTTAGAAGACAGGCGCGCGCCCGGGTAAGGGGGACGCCATCGGAGGATGAGAGTGGGGCCCTTGCGGAGGAGGAAGAGGAGGAACCCGGAGACGTGCTGCCCCAGAAGGAAGCCGGGGCTGGCTGAGCGTCAGCGCCGCGCCCCCCACACTCCCAGGTCTGCGGGGAGGATGGAGGGGTTCAGGGCTGTGCGCAGGCGCGGGCGGCGCCGAGTCGCCCCTCAGGAGCCTGCGAGGGAGTGAGGACGCGGGAAATACGAGGCTTCCGCACGTGAGGGCCAGGGATGCGTGTGTGTGTGTGTGTGTGTGTGTGTGTGTGTGTGTGTGTGTATGTGTAGAATTCTGACTCAGGATTCTTTACCATCCTCCACGGCGGCTGCAGTTTCTGACCCACACATTCAGCAGAAGTAGTCAGGGTCCTCTCAGAAAAGCCCTGAGCGTGAGGTTGTCTTTGAAAGCAGTGAAGACCATGCCTTCCTGACAGTACCCGCCCCCCGCGATGATGATTGTGAAAATGTTTCAGTAGATGTTATTGCCAGAAAGTCTTTGATCGAATACATGTACTCGCAAAATAAGGAATGGAGATGATCATTGTAAGAATGGTGTAGGATTAAAGAGAGGAGAGGCAAGGAAGATGGAATAAAAAGTGATGAGGATCCAGAAAATGGAGAAGTAAATTGTTCCCATCCGAACTCTGACAATGATATAAGCCCTAGGGTGGCTGTGCCACGCAGAAGGGTGGGGCACATGAAGGAACACTGCAATTAGATGATAAATGATACGTGTGGCTGCTATAGCAATCACCGTGGTAAAGTGTGGCCATAAATAGGCATGACCTGAAATAACCCAGAAACCTGTAACATGCAGAGGCTGGAGAAGGAAAACTTTAGAAGGTATACGTGTCTAGAAATGCCCCCTTAGAGTCCAGCATGGTAGCCTAGTGGCTAAAGTCCTTGCCTTGAACACACGGGGATCTCACATGGGCACCAGTTCGTGTCCCAGCAAACCCACTTCCCATCCAGCTTCCTGGTTGTGGCCGGGGAAAGCAGTCGAGAACGGCCCAAAAACTTGAGAGCCTACACCCATGTGAAAGACCCAGAAGAGGCTCCTGGCTCCTAACTTCATATTGACGCTGCTCTGGCCATTGCAGCCACTTGAGGAATGAATCATTGAATGGAAGATCTTCCTCCCTGTCTCTCCTTCTCTCTGTATATCCGACTTTCCAATAAATAAAGCTTAAAAAAAAAAAAGAAAGAAAAGAAATGCCCCCTTAGGGATCTGGTGGCCTCGAGTCGCCTGGTTCGGGTCCTTGGGCCTGCCTGCAAGAATATGTTCCCCTCAGTGAAAAAGGCAAAGCAGTGGACACAGACACTGATGCACATGGAGAATATGGCAGCCCAATTGGTACTGGTGCAGAAGAAAGAGAACAGAACAAGTCGAACAACTACCCCAGACAAATGATGACCTCAGAAATCTGGATGAATGGAGACTTGAGGTCAACTATGTCAGCCAATGGACATTGGAGAGGGCTGCATCATCCTTGGATCAGCAAAATCGACAGTATTTCAGAGCTATCCAAACCACTTGGGCAGAAATCCACAGGAGATGCACCGCGTCGGGACCCTGAGTTGATATTGGGTGGTGTTTCCCCATCCCTGGGTACTGGGACATTTGGGAGGCTGGGTGTGGCTTCCCCCTTTATCTCTCTCCTTCCCCGAAAAACAGCAAGAAGAAATAGCAAATTTGGAAATAATGAATGCACCTATTTGTCCTTAACCCTTGATCCTTACCACCTTGATCAACCATGTAATCATCATGAAAAATAAAATAAAAGAAATGTGCCTTGGAGGAGGTGAAATTCTTCAGTCTTTGGAAGACACCTACGATGAAGTCATCCCGGGTTAAAGAATTTTAGAGACTTGTCAGGAGTGGGGCTTATTTTGGTTAAACTGAGATCCAGCTATTTTTTTCCAGGAAGCAGACACAGCTGTCTGGCTTGTTGATCCCAATTCAAAACTCATTTGTAGCCACTTCAGGGATTGGTCAAAGCTTTCCAATGAAAAATCCCAACAGTTACCTGTAAAAACAAGCTAGCAGTCACCAGAGAATGTAAGAATTCACCTCTAGTTGTGAAATGCCTGTGTGGGTTTCTCTCCACCAGCCTATTCGCTGGAGGATGTTAGCTTGGGTGTCTGACACTCCACGTGGAGAATGCACAAACTTCATGGAAATACAGAGTTTGGGCACAGTACTGAAATCCAGGCACTTACTCATGTGTATCACCACGAATTTCCTGAAGATCTCTCCTAGTACAAGATGCTCACAGATTAAGAGCTCACATGCACAAAACTGTCCTCACAATATACATCAATCAAGTGCGCAGGTTGCCAATAGCTTCCCTGTGGTCCCTTTATTTGCTAGGATGGCTCCCAGAACTTGACTTTAACTTGTTTGTAAAGGATCTAAGTGAATTGCCAGAAGGAAAAGATGCAAGGAAACAGGAATTGGAGACTGCCTTGAAGTCAGACACTCCAGTGTGAGCTGCGGGCATCCCAAGAGACTCCTGCATCAAAAACATGAACCAGGTATGAAATTTTGGAAAAATTTAAGTCTGATATCTAATCCTGTAGGTTGGGGCATGCAGAACCTACATATTACTACTACTGTTCCTATTACTATTACAGCGACTACTTCATGTCTGATAGCCTCAATAGTTAAAACTAAAGAAGCATTGTTACAGTGTGGCAGGTGCCGTGATGCAGGGCAGCTTATTAAGCTGCTTCTTGGGATATCTGAGTCGCGTATCAGTGCCATTTCAAGTCCCAGCTGCTACATCCAGTGAGTTCATCTTCCTGCTAACGCGTCCTGGGAGATAGCAGGTGATGGCTCAAGTGCTTGGCCGCTGCTTAGCCTGGCCCAACCATTACTGTTGAAAGCCTTCAGGGAATGAACCAGCAAATACAAGAGGCTCAGATTCTCTCTGCCTTCCTCCATCTCTGTCTCTCTCTCACACACACAGCCTTGCAAGAAGATGGAAATAAACATTAAGCAATTGTTACAGCAGTAACAGGATGTTGTGCATTTTAATAGTAATTACTTTTTAAATTTTCTTTTTTTTTTTATTTTTTTTTTAAAGATTTATTTTTATTATTTTTTATTGGAAAGGTGGATATACAGAGAGGAGAGACAGAGAGGAAGATCTTCCATCCGATGATTCACTCCCCAAGTGAGCCGCAACGGGCCGATACTATGCCGATCCGAAGCCAGGAGCCTCTTCCGGGTCTCCCACACGGGTGCAGGGTCCCAAAGCTTTGGGCCGTCCTCATCTGCTTTCCCAGGCCACAGGCAGGGAGCTGGAAGGGAAGCGGGGCTACCGGGATTAGAACCAGCGCCCATATGGGATCCCAGGCGTGCAAGGCGAGGACTTAACCACTTGCGCCACCGCGCCGGGCCCTAAATTTTCTTTTTAATATTGTTTACATAGTTGAGAGAGATGCGTGCCCATGTGGGCTTCCAATTAGAATGAGGAGGGTCAGGTATGGAGAAAAGTAGGTAGAACAAATGTTTCCTTATTTTTGTTTTCTCCTGCAGTGGCACAGAGGTGAGCCCGCGAGTCCCCTTCAAACATGCCCTTATTGTGCCTGCTGCGCTACACCCCCAGACTCCCTTAGGCAATCTGTAGTCCCTCACCTAGGGACCGCGTGCGTGTCACTTCCCGGCATTCCCCATCTTGCCCACTTAAAAACCATAGGATAGGTAGCAGTGCTGGCATGCTGGTATCGTTAACACAAATTTGGCATTAAGCAGGCCCAGAATGCCTGCCAGCTACCTGCTGTTTTACCCCAGTAGTGTAACACTTGCCTAGATACAAAGCAACATAGATAGTACAGTTGCCTTCAGATGGATAATAGTAACTATTTATTTAAGATTTATTTATTTTTAGTGGAAAGTCAGATATACAGAAAGAAGGAGGAGAGACAGAGAGGAAAATCTTCATCCACTGGTTCACTTCTCAGATGGCCACAACAGCCAGAGCTGAGCCGATCTGAAGCCAGGAGCCAGGGGCTTCTTCTAGGTTTCCCATGCAGGTGCAGGGTCCCAAAACTTTGGGCTGTCCTTGACTGCTTTCCCAGGCCCCAGACAGGGAGCTAGAAGGGAAGTGGGGTGACTGGGGCACAAACTGGCGCCCATGTGGATCTCAGCATGTGCAAGGTGAGAACTTTAACCACTAAGCTACCGCTCCGGGCCTATTTATTTTTGAGGATTTATTTTCATTGATAAGTTAGATTTACAGAGAGAAGGAGAGGGAGAAAGATCTTCCATCTACTGGCTCACTCTCCAAGTAGCCACAATGTCCAGAGCTGAACCAGTTTGAAACTAGGAGCCAGGAGCTTCCTCCTGGTCTCCAACGCAGGTACAAGGTCCCAAGGCTTTGAATCATCCTCTGCTGCTTTCCCAGGCCACAAGCAGGGAGCTGGAAGGGAAATAGAGTAGCCAGGATATGAACTGGCACCCATATGGGATCCCAGCGCACACAAGGCAAGGACTTTAGCCACTAGGCTATCACTTTGGGCCCAATAGTAACTATTTATGCCTGCAAACAGAAAACTCTATGAGTTGAATTATACAAATAGAGACTTCTCTCACAAAACAAGAAATGTGGTAGGAGCCAAGGCTTGTTCACTTTCCTGATGTTCCTCGAGAGCATGAAAGCCTTCCCTAAGTGCATGGCCTCCTCGAGAGATGACAGTAGAACTGACAACCTGTTTAGGAATACGGCTGAACGTGAACTAGTACTGCAAGCGGAGCATAGGCCACTCTCGTTATACAACCCATTTATCATTAATCTGGGAGTGATAAGAGGGTCATTTGGACTCTACAGAGGGTGGGAATGTGTGGGAGTAGGAGAGGGAGTTTGCAGATTTTCTGAGAATTGCTGCAATTCCACCACTTGTTTGTTTTTTGCTTGCTTGTTTACTTGCCTGCTTATTTCCTTCCAAGGAG